GAGAAATGCAAATAGCTTTCAGCAATATTCACAGGACCTCTTTATTCAAACTGTCAGTTTTGTGGCTCCTGTTTCTTCTTCCATTGGTTTTAGTGGTAATTATGAAGGTATGATAATGAATGTGTATCTGTAGCTTGCAGCAAACTATCCAGAGAAAAATTGTGTCATGCAGCCACTGCCTTTCTATTTTTTATTTTGGGATTATGCTGGTGCTTTTTTTTCCTCTTTTTTTCTCCTTTTTTCCCCTTGTGTTATTCCCCTCTCTTTCTGTGACTCAGAGGACTGATTCTAGAGTAAATGCAGGGTTTTTTCACAGTAGTCTCCAAATACTCACATATTATCCTGCAGTAGTTTGGTTAAATTAAGATGAGTTCGTAGAAACCTAGAAATGGTGTCTAAATACAACTATTTTCTCTTTTTTTGCAATGAAATTTGTCATCTTGGAACTTTTCTGAGTAAATAGACATTAATTTAAACCGAAGCAATTCTAACTTGATAGATGCAGATTTTTTTTCTTCATTGTAACAGTCAAATATGGAAGTGAAAGGTTGTGTAGTCTTTACCTCTGAAGACTTTCAAGACACTACTGGATAAATCCCTTTTTTTAATCTGGGCCAGGGAGTAGCAGGTTTCATTTTTATAGCGAATTGTGGCAGTCATAGGTACAAAGATTGTGAAAATCCCTTTCTCTGCTTTGCTTCGGTGAGTCCTGCCAGCAAGTAGTAAGGCTATCCATTGTGAGTATTACTATAGAGGTATTTTAACAAAGATATCGACTTACCTGAAGTTAATAGAAGCTGCAGAGACTCTTTTAGCATTTGGGACCAAAGGAAACAAAAAAAAAAAAAAACCCCTTGATAATGTATGGCCAGGTTGTCTACTCTCTCTCCTACTGTCCTGTCTCCAACAGTGGAAAAGAATCAATATCCTTAGGTAAGGAAGAATGTGATAAGCATATTGGATTCTTTGCTACTTTCCAACTATTTTCAGCTTGGATTGTTTCCTGAAATAGTTATGGTTTCTAGGCATGAGTGTTTGTATAGCTAATACCTATTGCTGGAATCTCCATTGCAGTTTAAGTAATTAATTGAAGTTATGTTAAAAGCTAAAAGCAATAACTGTCATTGTTAAAATCCTCAGCACTGGCAGATGATTCTTTGTTTAGCCTTTCATTATAACCACCACCTTCTCTGGGAGTCAGTCTTGGAGAATCACTGCTGTTTGCATTAATTCCTAACTGTCCAGTTGAAACCAAGTCTCATTTAAAAGTGCTCCTCTGCCTGCAGGATGCCGTATACCAGAGTGTTCCTACACCTGTTAGAAGCCCCAGTGAGCACTGCACCAAAGTAAGTCATGTGTGGCTCTTTGAAGTTCTGTGCATCTTGGGAAATCTTCACTAGTTGTGTCCCATGTAAAGTCAGCCTGAAAATATTGATAACATTCTTTAGAAGCTTCAGAGGCTCTAGAAAATTAATGCTGTTTTGAAAACAACATTCCCTCATCTCCTCTTTTCCTCCCTCTCTAAATTTAGGACTTCTTTTGTAATTTTGGCAACTCTGTCCACAAATAACTAATGTGGACACAAGCTAATCTAGTGAGGATAATCATCTTTCATATAGCTATGTGGTAGTGCAAATGTAGCAGACTTAGATACTTAGATTTAAATATCTGTTTAAAGTGTTCTTGGAGAAAAACAACGGTAAAATAACATCAGTTAGCAAAATTATAACTGAAAGCTTGATGGCAAAACTATCTTCAAGGCCATCTAGAGGTTATTTGGTTAAATGTGTTAATGTCTTTGATGTTCTACGAGTAACACTGTACTGACGATATTTTTTTTTTTTTTTTAATTCCTAATTATAAATGTGGTGTAGTATGGAAAACTTCTGTATTTAAAATAGCTACTTAATTTTGTAAAAAGGAGTTCAGAAGGAAAAACAACTATTTGGATTAAGTGCTGGCTCATTTTGAGGCTATGGTCATAGAGGATTCTATTATTAAGAATAAAAGCAGTGCTAGTATGTTGATCTTTCTAAGAAACAATCATAAAATTGTCTGTTAAACGATGCTGAGAATTTGGATGGCTATTCTGTGGATATTATTCTATGTCTTTCATTTAAAAGTCTTGCATTTGCTATGGACATTTGTTTAGTGAAGGACTCTCTTACAGTTAACATAATGATGTTGGAGTAAGCTTTTTCAGCTTGAATATGTAAGTTGGAAATCATCAGTGATTTGCAAACTTAGATGAAAACTAGAGCTATTATCTTGAATATGTGAGCTGCAAGAATTAAATGCTGCCAATTCTAGTAGCTGTGGCTAATAGCATCAGTACTGCTGCTTAGTGGCAGTAAGCTCAGCCCTTGGAGCAATGGAAATTAAAATCTTTATAATCTCTTAGGGGCTCCACTTTTCTGTATTCTGTTTTGAATGCAGTTTTTGATGTAGACATCTGTTTGCTAAAAATTTAATTAGTACTGCTGTGTGGCTTCAGCCAATTGAGTTATCTTCAGCTAAAAGTTAAAGGATGATTACTGCCTTTACAAATAATTAAAAAGAAAGTCATACTAATGACTAAATTCTCGGTGCTTGTGAGTAAGACTGGTTCCACGTATTCTTTCTGGCCTTGACCAGACAGTGACAGTTTATACACAGTTGTCTTCTGAATTAGGCACACCGTATGTGCTCCCACCAGCCTCCTGTTGGTGGGTGGCGGTGCACAGGAACAAGAACCGGGCATCCCTCACCAGTGTGGATCAAAAACATGCAAATCCACTGCAGAACTGTTCTGCTAGTCAACAACTACTGTACCCCACCCACATTTCTAGCTAGCAGATGGTGAGGCAAACCTGTAGAACATGGTGATGGATTTTACTACATCCCTTGAAAAGTAAATAAATAATATTTGAAAATCCTATTTAAAATTCTAAATTACAGAACTAATTAGCCACAAAAGCATAGCACCATATAAGTAGGGGATTTATATTCTCTGTAAAACTTTCACGGTCACATTAAATAAACATTGCTTCAGTAATTTTAAGTACTTCTTAAGCAGGAGACAGTATTTTTTAAGGTATTGGTCATCCTAATGTTCTTAATGTTTGAGATTTCTGACTAAGCTTTTTGTTCTGGAAGAAAAGAGCAAATACTATTCTGCTACAAATCCTTTTGATTAAAAAAAAGGGGATTAAATAAGCATTTAGAACAAGAAATCTTTCAGCATGGATAAACAGAACAAATGACTTCATTAACTTTCAGTTACTGTGCATTTGTGTGAAACCATGCTAAAACCATAGCTGGTGGGTTGCTGTTTGCTCTGCACAACAGGCAAAATTTTTCCCTGTTCTTCAGGAATCAAGATGCTGTAGGCCAGGTCATGGTTGCCTCTGTTTCTTTCTCAGTTGTATTCAGCTTATTCTTTATGTGGCTGCTACACAGCTTTTTGCATAGTTACATAAATTTGGCTTGAATGATCTCAGTTTGGTGTTTTAATATAATTTAGTAATTTAAAATAATAATTTTAAACTTGATCTCTCTGTACGTGAAAATTATCCCTAGAACAAAAGACTAAAATTGAATTCAGATTTTTTTTTTCTGATTAGGAGCATGGTTAGAACTTGACTAAGATAGGGGCTTTGCCTGTTTGAGCTGACCATCTATATGATAAGTTGCAGTATTAATGTTTACTCTAGTAGACACTTTTAATACATGAAAAGGAAATTTCCACAAAAACATCTAATGAATTAGTGTCACAGAAAGTGTTATTACAAAAATATTGTTATGTTCTAACACAATATTCAGTATCCACTCTATAGCTATGTAACAGCAGCAGGAAGATTCAAAGAAAATTGCTTATTAGGTTTGACCCAAGAATATGTATCTTGCTTGATAATTTTATCAGAAGGGTCTGTCAGTCTCACTTCCCTGCACTGACCTCTTTTCTGATTTTCTATTGTCAAGGTCACGTAATTTATCTTTTGTCTAGGGACCTCATCCCATATATTTTAAAAATCTACATTTTGTATATAGCAGCAGGATATTCTCCATCATCACTGATTGAATTTACAAAGTACCTCTGAGCACCAAAATAAGGCATTTTATTAAAGATATCAGTAGTACAATTATGAAGAAAAAGTGGCTCCAAATTCTAAGCTGAAGGAAAAAGGTAAACAAGTTGGTTTTCAAGTTGATTTTACAGATGAAAGAAGTCAAGTATTTTTCCCTATCTCTCAATGAAAAAAAAAAAAAAATCAAACACATTCTGTGATATGATCTTTACTTACTGTTAAGACTTGAACTCCAACATCAGAATACACCTACTAGTGTAAATTGTTATCATCCAGGTTCATGAAAAGCACTGAGGAAATTAAACAAAGGAAGTAAATGCTGTTTGGTATTGCATCAAAACTGAAGCCACAGCCTTCTTCCATTTTTAAAAAATGTATCTTTATAGTGTTTTTTTGTATTATCATTTGGCTGTCTGTTGAGTGTCCATGTTGCATCCTCACAAGGAATGCATTACAGCAGTTCTAAGACGATGAAAATTATACGAGTCAAGTTCATTTACTTACATTAATAGCAAAACTATATCCATTATCATTCTAAATGCAGGAGTTATATTCACATCTTTCTGACATCTGAACTATGAGGTGAGGTGCCATACTTATGTGTTCTCTAGTCTGTTTTATTGAAATGTCATCACTGTAAACTAGTTGTAATTGCTGTAGTTCATTTGTGGTAGTAGGTCCAAAGACAATGTGAGTGGAAAGGACAAGTGAACAAAATATAAACCCCTAGTGTTGTGAGAAGAAGTGCAGCACAAGTTGAAAGTCTAATCATTGTACTTCGTCTTAAAAAATTTGGCTGGTAAATGACACATATGCAACCTTTTGAAGGTAATTGTGTGTGTAATTATGTTGTAGTGAGTAACTAAATATTGGGTGTGTTGATTTTTTTTTTTAAGGAAATAAGCCTACTTCTAGGTGAATTAATAAATCACTTGTGGCTTGCATTGCTTTCTCTCTAGTCCTGAAGTTGTAAAAGGTGAGCTGCATGGAGAGAAGGCTGATGTCTGGGCTGCAGGATGCATCCTTTAACAGATGGCCACTCTGAGCCCACCAGTTTATAGCACCAATATGCCCTCCTTGGCAACTAAAGTATTCACATTTGTCAGATCAACCTCCCAGTTACTTCTGCATGTGTTCGCATGATCCTAGAGAATTTACATTTAAGTTTATTGACACATAAACTGCTCTCAGCTCTAATGTGTGTGGCTTGTGAACAAGCACAAGTGTTTATCATGGTATGGATTGTTATCTTACCATTCTAATTGCAAAAATTGCTTGTTCAATATTGTGGGACTTTACAGTACACTAATGTGGAAATCTGACTGGAAGAGACAGTCTGCATCTAAGCTGTTCTGCAGCTTAGAGCTGATGATGTAATTCTCATCAGATAGTTTCAAGGGACAACACTTACCATATTGGATCCTCAAGTAAATACTGGAATATTTTTCTTCAAGAAACTGTTGAATTTTTTTTTTCCAGATTGTAGGGGCTGTGTGTGAACCTGTGCCAGAAGGACTGTACTCTGAAAAAGTCTCATTTCACATTAAGAGGTAATTACTCATATTATTTCAACATCTCGCTGTAAAGATCTTTTTGTTTTGTATGCTTCCAGCAGAGATAATGTGACAGTTTGCAGACTTTAGCAACTGCCAGTATTTGTATCTGAATAGGAATCTTTGGATTTAAAGAAAAACAGAGCTATCTCCTTACACCAATAGTAATATATACAATATAGCTGCACACATGCAACTGGAAAACTCATACCACTATAGTCAGGGCATTCATTTAGCCATTATAGACTTTATATTCAGTACTGAAATTTACATTTAACAGTATCAGTGCTGTAGTTAATTCCCTACACATAATGTTTTTTCCAATAAAAATCCAGAATCTGAGTAATATTCAAATGCAGATTGTGGTCAAGGAAATAACCCCATTAGAATACATTATTTATAGATCATTGTATGATCACGTTGAATTTTTTTTTGTTTATTTGACTGATGGAAATATGTTTTTCCCTACCTTAAAATTCTTTTAGCACAGCAGCAGAGGTAAAAAAGTAATGGATGAAAAGATGAGCCCGTACTTGATACACTTACTCATCACAAATTTCTTAGCTATGTTTATATCTTCCTGGAGATAATGTAATGTGTAAGGCAAAATATAGAGTGAATTAGAGATTTAGTTAGCTCACTTGATTTTTCCATTTTAGAAAAAAATCCCACTTAGTAAAAAAATGCTTATACTTTCTCATTCAGATATTCAATTCTGTCTCTAAAAAGCACATCACAAAAAAGGTTTGTGTAAGGTTATAAACTAAGGTTTTTATAGTATGTTTTAGTGTACAGAAAGGTTTAAGTTACTTAAAGACCTTGTGGATAGAGGGCAACAACAGGAGATAATAGAACTAACATTTATTTTTAAGAGGTTCTGAAATGAATTTTAATGAAAATATTTAAATCTTTACATTTCACAAGAATTTTTCCACATATCTTACTAACAGTGGGAGGTATAAAGTGGTTTTTTTTTGGTTTTTTTTTTTTTTTTTGCTATTTTTATTTTTAGGGGGATGTTGGTTTTAATACTGTCTCTTACTATGGGTTAAATCTTAGATGATACGTTATGTTTAGGTTTTTGCCTATGCTTTTTGAGATCTTTAGAAAGAATAAAATACATGAAAGAAAGCAGTAATAATGAAATTTTAGTCATAATACAGATGAGGAAACATTAACAGAAAAGATGTAGTTATTTTCAAATTACTAAAACAGAACACATTTCAAAGATGAATGTTGTAAATAAAAAAAAATTCTTAATAATGATTTGAAGAAATATTGAAAGCTTCTTGTTGCAACTGTAAATTTTCATTTAGTGCTATCATTACTATTCTTTAGTATTGTTATTAAATTACAGTTTTATATCTTTAAGCTACTAAAGAAAGTTCTGGAATCATAGCCATCAAATTCCTTCAGAGCTGAATATCTACCTACTTGGTGTTGAGTCATATATACTTTCTAGATGCACGGGAAATGGATACAGGACTTACTAAAAAATCTCTTCTAGCTTCCATTGGTCTTGGAACTTTTGCCCGATTTCAATTAATTAAAATAAAAAAAACCAAAAGAAAATCCCAATGCAAAGTATTTTTAAGGGTGAAAACTTGCACCTCATTAAAAGAAATACAAAATTGAAAGTAAAAAATATTTTTAAAGTTATAAAAATTAGTGAAATTAATCAACACTTTTAAGCAAATTTAAACAAAGATATTAAAATAAAGAAGTTCAAGCATTGTAAAACATTTTCAAAAATACTATTATGCATGTCACTTGTGTTTTACTTAGAAAGAACTGCGGAGAAATTGTAAGTTAATCTATGATATTTTCTTTGAAGAGGAGTGTTGGGTTATATGTTTGTGTTAGCAGGTCAATGGTACTATACAAGAAAATCATAGAAATGATCAGGCTTGTTGAGTTAACAGGTTTAAGACACTTTTTAGTACATGCAGGACTGTCCCTAGCAGCTTTCCTTTCCTACAGTGCATACAAAATATTCTGAGGATTAAAAAATAGCTCTAATATATTATTACCATTACTAAACAGCCACCTCGGGTGCCTTAAACATAGACCTGTTAAAGTATTTTAGGTTGGAAGGGACCCCTGGAAGACTCTAGTTCATCCTGCTCAATGCAGATGCAATTAGATGTGGCTGCTTACTGCTCAGGGCATTGTCTGTGTCAGTTTTGCATTGAAGGATGGAGATTCTACAACTTCTCTGGGCCCTCTGTAGTGTTTGTCTACCTTTGTGATTAAAAGTAATAGCAAGAGTAATAACAAGTTTTGGATCTATCCAGATTTCCCTGTGGTTTAGCTTATGTCTCTTGCCTCTTGCTCTAACACTGTGCACCCTGAGAAGGGTCTGGCCAGGCCTTCCCATTAGTCAGGTAGCAATCAGATCTGAGAACAGGTGGTCCAGGTCCCTCTGACTACTGCCCTCCCCATGTATCCCTGCAATTCCATGCAATTCATTGTTCGCAAACCTTTGGAGAATGTATTCTCTCCCATGATCTAGGTCATCAATAAAGACATTAAATAGTACTGACCCAATATCAGTCCTTGGAGAATGCTACTTCCAGACACCAGCTGGACTTTGTACCACTGATGGCATCTCTTTGAGCCAGGAGGTTCAGCCAACTATCTTCCTACCTTATAGTCCTTTAGATACTATGGGATATTGTGTCAAATGAAAGTCTTGCTAAAATAAGGCTACTCCCAGCATAATTTTCTCTTTCTTTGTCCTCAGACAGTAATCTCATCATAGACACCAATCAGCCTAGTCAGGTATGACAGCTGTTTGGTTAATCCATCCTCACTGTTCCCAGTCACCTTCTTGTCATTTTTGTGCTTGAAAATTGCTTCCACAGAAAATTGATCTATCTTTCCCAGAGACTGAGGTGAAGCTATGTGTGTGATATTCAGCTTTTACCCATTTACAGGAATCTCCATTTGATCCTTTTAGACATGTCAGTATTGACCAATTGAATCAGCACTCTCAGACTGTTCTCATTTGGTCCCATGGGCTTGTCTACGTCCAATTGGCTTAAATGCTTTTTCACTGTATTTTCTGCTACATAGGAACACCTCATGCCAGTAGATTCTACAGGTAGGCTCAGAGATCTGAAACACTTATGGCCAAATTGTCTCAGTGGAAATGGAAGCAAAAGGGGGACCAAGTGTTCCAAACTTTTCCATGTCGTTTGTCACTAGGTTGCTTATGGGTCCACATTTTCTGTAGTCTGTCTTTGTCGGCCTTTTCTCTGACTTCCACATCCATTGCTAGTTTCAACTTTTTCAGCTTCAGCTGAGGTTTGGCTTTCCTAACTCTATCCTTTGGGCAATACTTGTATTCTTCCTGTGTAGTCCACCCCTGATTCCCACATGCAGAATTGGGCTGTTCTAGTGCTTTGAGATGTCCCTGAAGATTACCTTGCTTTCCCAAGCTTTACCTTCCATGGCAGTCTTCTGTGAGATTTTGCCAGGAAGATCCCTGTACATGCTGAATTCTGCTCTCCTGAAGTCCTGTGTTGTAACAATACAATCTCACTTTCTCACTTCTCTCAGGATTTTGAACTCCAGTCTCTGATGTTTGCTCTAAGATCAAGAGGCTGCTGTTGGTCCTCACACCCCCGCCTCTTTCTTTCCTGTCTGAGAGGAACAGTTCTAGAAGAGTGCCTTACAGCTCCATGAAGAAATTGTCATCAACAGATTTCAGAAATCTCCTGGTTGCTGCACTCAGCCATATTACCCCATCAGCAGATATCAGGGTTTTTAATAGGCCCCAATGACTATAAGTGTCTGGAATCATGAAGCTTCTTCCATCTGTCCAACAAAGACTTCATTGACTTTCTCTCTGATTTTGTGTAGTTTATAGCAGGCATCTACCACAATTTCACCCATGTTGGTCTGCTCCTCTGATCCTCACTGATAAGTTTTTGACTACACATGTTCAGGCGCTGGACTGCAGCCTGACTTTAGCTTTTTATCCTCAGTGATAGAACTCAGAACACCCCCTCTGTTCCCTGCCCTTCACACTTGACCCCAGTGAACTGTAGTCACTTTTAGTGCATTCAGAGTTGGTGCTGATAATGTTATTTGTGCCCACATGAGCAGCAAGAAGTAATAGCCCAAGGGTCAGGATGAGTCTTGGTAGTATCTCCACAATGTCCTCAATCCAAGCAACAGCTATCACGTTCATCAAGTTGATCAAGTAGATCAATATCTCTGTTCCCCCAGCCTCAAATGACTGTCAGCTACTGCATCTTATTGTCATGTGAACATTTGATGCACACTCACCTGGCTCTGATGGGTCCTCCATTAGGCCTTGTTCTTCCTCACCTGTTTCTAGGTCGCTATACCTCTTCTGCAATTATTCCTCTGTAGTCAGAGGAAAAGCCTTCCTTCTCTTGGTACAAGTCACAAGTCTTCAACCTACCTCCTCTTGGGAACCTTCATCCACTGCTCCTGTGATTGCAAACTCTAGATATTCCTTTTCCTTTGCGTTGTTTTGAGAGTGTTGTCTCTGTGAAGATCCTGGCATTCTCCTGTAAATCCTCCCCATGAGGCAGACCCCATCTCCCCCATCCCAGGAGGAGGCCCCAGGCACTCCTTAGTGTGTCTGGGAGTGCACAGCCACAGTTTCCAGTATTGTTTGGGTCAGTGTCAAGGATAATTGTTCCAGCTTATGCTGGAGGCTGTGCTGTGGTGTCGTAACACCAAAGCTGCCCATCATCGAACTGTCACAGGCAGGATGAGAGAGCAGTGCTGGCTGGCATAACTCCATAAATATCAGGGCAGGAATTCAATGGTTGAAAATATTTTTTTAGAAACGATAGAGAATGTTCTTCCTGTAGCTGCTTGACTCCTGATGCAGAGGCATGTTCAGACATAGTGGTGGTCAGCTCCCTGCTGTCTGATGTGATGATGAAGTACCTGGATGTTTTATCCACCTCTCATCTCATGCTGGAGAAGAAACTGGACTGGGAGAGGAGACAAACCCAGCAGTACTTCATGGAGGCTAATTGAAATGCTATAGCCTATCACCATCGACTTTCCATTTTATCTCAAGTAAGTTACATGTATTAGGCTTTATTTTTTGTTATTGTTGTTTGCCATATCTGAGAAAATAGGGTGCAGAAAAGCAGAAAATGAATCAAAATTAAAAGACTCATCGACCCATCCTCCTGTAACATTTTTCCATGCAGGCTCTTTAATTTATTTTCAGCAAGATATTAATTAATTTTTTTTTTTACGTTCCTGTGCAGGAAAAATGACAGTATCTTAAAATCCAATGTCATTCTATGTTGAAAAGTGGCATTGTTATGGAGGTTATAATCTTACAGTTTTGATAATATCTGATAGCATTTAATTATTATGGCACAGTTATGAGTGGTTTGTGAATAGGAGAATATACACTTGATTAGGGTGGAACAAGTTGATAATCTTGTGTATGATTCATAAACAATGACACTTAGAAAATTGAACCTACAAGAATAAAATTTTTAATTACAGATTGCAAAATACCAGTGATGCTGATAAGGTATTTGTTCATGTTCTCTAACTCTCTGATACAGTTCTGCAGAAATACAGTTCTTCCATTTGCTTCAGGCTGTGTTTTAAGCATCTTTCAAGAAGAACATCAGTAGTTTACATATCATATATAACCTCAGAATTTATTAAAAAAATACAAGGACAATGTTTTTGTGTAGCAAAACTGCCCTTTGAAAGTTGTTGTGATAATTGCAGTATAAAGTTAAAATTTACACAGTCACTCTTGTCTGTTCAGATATTGCATCTCTTAGATTCCTTTTATCAGGGATTAGTAGCTTGTACAAAGAACCTCTGTGTAGGTAAAAGGTTTTCTAAAGCACCTGGTCCCAAACATCCTAGTCTTCACATTCCAAAACTAAATAACTTGTATCAATAGTTAATGTTTTTTCAGGAGTTTTTTTGACCTATCAGTCTAAGATCATTATTTATATTACACCATGTTTTTCAATAAAAAGAATCCCAAAACCTACCAGCAAACTGTAACAAACGACTGCCTTTTAAAATGTAAGAGGTATTGGTTTCAAAGAAAGATACAGAGTAGGATTTGTAACTTAAAACACTATAAGCAACTTTTCCCATGTGTTTTTCATTTAAATTTTCTTAACCTACAGATTGGGAAGCTTCTTGTATGCCATCTTTTGTATCTTGATATAGTCATTCTCTTGTATAACTATGATGAAATTTGCCTAAAAATGTGCTATAGATTAAAAGATGCTAGAGTTAGGATTTTGATGCAGTTATTGTGTCTTTGAGAAAAAAAAATGCCCTACCTAGATATTTGTGAGATATGATAGAATGGATAGTTTTACATAGAAATTAGAATACTTGTGTTTTGTATAAATACTTGGAAAATACACCTATCTAGAAAACTGCCTGTGTATTTTGGGTGATAATGGCCAGTTTTCTCAAGGAGGAAACACTGCAGTTCTAGTTCCAATTGATATTTTATTCTGTATATTAAAAGAATAAGAGATTCTGACAAAGATCCAGAACCCTGAAGAAATGGAGGGGAATATGGCTTAGTAATGAAACCTAACTTTGTAAATTGTTGTAAATAAGAATAAATCAGGCTAAGAGCTTTCAAATTTCAGAGAAATATTACAGGCCTTAGAAAGAAAAGGAGATATATTGTTTCTTGGTATTTAGGAAAGCTTTATAAAGTTGAAGAATTTCTTATAAATAGAATAATTAGTCCTGAAAAGTTTGCCTTTTGAAAAAAAAAAAAAAAAAAAAAGGCAATGTTCTGACTAAAAGTGCTTGGAAGAATTTCAAGCAACTGCTCCTGAAATAAAACCTCTGTAAGATGTAGACAGCCTAATTCATCTTAGTCAAGGCCCCAGCGATTCCACACCCAAGTAATTTGTCATTTTTCCATGGTGTCAGAGAATTTGGTGTTTCTGCCACGTAGTTCAATGTTTTGTTGAAGCCAGCTAGCTTATACTTTGCTTTCTCTACTGAAATGTTCTTATGGGCTCCTTTTTCATCCCAGTTGTGTTATAGTGTGCATGTTTCTGAAATAAGGACTGTACTCTCTGTCCTTGTATATGGAACTGAAAGAACAGAGATCTTTTGGAGCCAGAGTAGAATTTGTTTTATGAGTAGTTTAAAACTAGTTTGGTAGCTGGTAAATAGGCAACTGGGAGGCAGGTCAGTAGATGATGAAATACAGTTAGTTACCTTGTGTTGTAAGTATAGCATAAAATCAATGCTTGAAAATAATCCTAGTAAAAAGAATCGTCATGAACTCCCCACATAAATTCTTATATTTCCTAGTTTTCTACAGAAACTGTTTATGTTAGAGCAGAAACAGATGTAGGGGTGGCAGGTGTTTGATAGAGTTTGTGTGTTCAGTTCTGAAAGGTTAAGTTTGCTGACATAACACATGGTACAGATGACCCAAACAAGTAAGAATAATGGCAATAATTCTTATTAACATTAATAATTCATGTTGCACTTTCATTTCAAGGTGATCAATATTATATTTTCATGCTCTGTGTATGAAGAGGTAGAAAGGAAAAAGATAGTTTGTGTATGGTCACCAAACAGATCAGTAGCAAATTTGAATTTTCTGTGTTCTGAGGCAAGTATAAGTCTCAAAACAGTAGTTGATCTAACTAAAGAATTGTCATTCTAATATTTTCCTTTGAAGAGATGAGTATATAGTCAAACAATAATTTGATTGCTTTTTGAAGTATATAGATTTGGAAAATGTATTTTGTCTGTTTAGAAAGCAGTGAAAATAAGTCACTTTTATTATTTCAGCAATGTCTGTTTCATCATATGGGCATCATCCATTATTGTTTAATTTACTGCATATAGCCTAAAAGGTTTTCAACTTTTCTATCATTTTTTAATGTAAAATATACATATACTTAAAACAATATAGAATGATGAATATTCAGTTAAGTCCTGTCTTTTTAATGTAGTAGAGGAAAGTGTAGGTTTTATAACTGGAGTCCATCAGCTAAAAATATGTGACAAAATATGAGCCATTTGTACCTTCTACTACTCTGAGACTATATTAAAAATGGGCAGACATGGTAGACTACCTGGATGGTCAGAACAACTTCCTTTTCTCAGTTTATGTAGTTCTGATCTGTGCATAAACCACATTCTATCACGATGCCTCTCTATGTTCTTTGAGAATTTAAGCTTATTTTCATTTTTGTATCAATAATGTCACTAGAATACGCATTTCATTTTTAAATTCATATATGCAAATCCATGTATTCAGAGTAAGTTCCCAGTTACTCAGAGTAATGGGGGATGATGATGCTTAGATAATGGGGAAAGTAGGTCCAACATGTTTTTCTGAGTGTAGTGTGATCACTACACTTTTCGGAGTGTCTCCCTGTTCCATGTTAGCTGGGGCTAATAGGGAGTCAGAAGACATTAACAATGCTTGATCTGAGCTGGTTCATTAAGGTTGCCCTTAGCTGAGTGCTTTGTCCTAGTGTTCAAATGCATGAGAATGCCCTTAGCAAGGCTGTTCTCTGCATTTTCCTGTTTTCACACTTGAACTTTCCCTAACCCAGCATGCTGGAGAGCATGGCATAAGGATCACAGCAAGTCATCTTCCATCTAGATAGGATATTTAGCTGCAGATCAAGACTGGGCCTCCCAGGCTAGATATGTAGGTATCAAGGTGTTGTGCTACTGGACTAGGTTGGTGCTGACAGAAAACATACTCTGATTATGCTTCTTGCAGGCAGCTTAGCTACAGCCTATGCTAGGAAGTCTGCCTAGCTCTCCTGCAGAGAGTGTTCAACTCTTTGTTGTCTGAAAATAGTAAACAAAGCAGTGTAGCTGTTTTCAAACTATATGTAAATGAGTAAATTTAAACTAAAGAACCTGACTAAACCTGAAATAGCTGATGCAGTTTCCTTAAATTTATCTGTGACATAAACCATCATACTCTACCTCTAGATGATTATGAGTTGATTGTATTTTGAATTTTTGAGGATCACAGCTATATGAAGGACCAAGAAACACAACATAATTTAAGTGGTTTTTCACCTAGTCATTTTCCTCCATGTCCAAATTCAGTTCTGCTCTGCTGGCAATTGTTGTGCTAATAATCATGTTAGTTTCTAAGCATCACCACATGCATTACAAAGTAGTACTTAATTAGCAATTCGATTTGAATTAATCAAGTTCTTTTGTTAACTCAGAAAAAGACATAAAGATTGGATTAATGTTCATTTTAATTTCCTTTATATTTAGAAATAGATTTTGTGCCATTCAGTGCATAAAATATTTTCCTTCTTAAAACCATGTGTGTGTGCAGCAATTGCTTTGGTGTTGGTCAAAGCAATGAGTATGCTTGGGTTTATAACACATAGCATGCAACAGGTTATTAATATTTCAGTAATTATGCTAGACTAGAATATTAAAATATTTTTATTAAAATTATCACTAAAATTTGTTACATTTTTATAAAATAAAAACGTGGATGGTCATGATTATTTTCTTATTCTTCCATCTTTCACTCCATTGTGACACCATTCTGTTCTGCTATTTATGTAGCAGGTACTAGAACTCATGTATAAATTTAAAAAATGTTGATGTGATTAAAAGAAATGAACCTTTTTACATTTATACTATTTGAGTTTGGAGAATAAAGGGAAAATACAAGAACTGTTTTGAAGGTATAGTCTTTTTAAGAGTTGCTGAATGTTTAATTTGTTAGTGCATAAAAGCTTTTTAAAAGAATTGCTGAATGTAAGGGAGGAAGAGTTGTCAAAGACTATCTTGTCCATTTCCAAGCCTTAGAGTTACCTGTCACTCCTGACAGGTATTTGACCAGTCAGTCTTAAAAATGTCATGTTATAGAAATGGTTTGGAAACAGCAGAAATGCAAAAACTGTCTTTACAGTCAACAGTCTTATGTCTGATTGAGTCTTCTTTTTTTTTTCCATATGAAGATAACATCTGCATTTAGTCTGATACTTGCAGAAAATTTTGGTCTTTGTTTGAATATAAAGCAAAAGCTATATTTATATATATTATATATATATATTTCTATAAAGCTTGAAAGGCTTTATACTTCATGCATGCCTGGTTTACAGGAGATGTTAGATTGACATATGCCTGTGCACGTATGGGATGTATATGGCACTTGAAATTTGCAGACCCAGTCTTCAATGTCATATAAGGGCTCTTATAGCGCTGAGTCCAGAATATCCCCAAAAGCTGTTTGCTGTGTGCATTCAAACCTGTTACATAGTGTGTGAACACATATTTCTCCCTGCAGGATTCCAGATAGGTGCGATAGTTAAACACTTAATTACTGAAAATTTCCTCCCCACAGTGGAAAGATGTAAAAGTTATGTATGGTTTTTCTCTTATGTTGTATCCCCCGCAGTGTTTTTTTTCTCAAAACCTTCTTTGACACCAAGTGTCACTTTGATTGACACAGCTCTGTGTATGATGTATATGCTGCAATATGATGTACGATGTGAATGTATCACAGTCCGGGCACTTTTAATAGGCACTCTGTCTATCCATTATGCAGATTATCATTGTAATTCAGTGACAACATTGAGTGGTTTTGGAACAAGGTCAAAAAGGAGCCTGATAAATTGTGCTTACTACCCATTTTCAGTTTAGCAAACATTCAAAGCAGTTACCAGGTTGAATACAATTTTTGTGGTCAATTGTTCGGCCAACTGATCATGATTTTGTCTAGCTCACACTTCCTAGCTTTCTTCTAGGATGTTATAAAAAACATTGTCAAAAACCTTGCTAAAACCCACATATGTAACATCTGCTTCTTGTTCCTAATGCACAGGAGCTGTTACCCTCTTACAGAAAAAGATGTATTGGTTTAACCTGTCTTTTTCCCTGCCAAATTCATGTTAGTTGTTACTTATTTTATTGATAGTTTACCAGTGTAAATAGATTGTAATTTGTTTGTTTTTTTTTTATAGAAATTCAAATCACTAGCATAATGCTGTAATTGTAAATGTCTCTAATAAAGAAGATTAATTAAATGCTGTTTGCAAATGCTCTATATTTCATGAAGACAGAAAAGTTAATTATTCTGGACAGCAGTATAACAAAACAGAACTAAATAAAAGATAAGTATCTTTATTTTATTTCAACCTACTTTTTTTTTTTTCTAACAACTTTTAGATTCCTGTTGGAAGACAAAACCAATAATTCAATTTCACTTTTCTGAAAACAAAGTATATCTCAATTTTAAAGTGTTGATAGTTACCAATTAAGAGACAGAGAGTGCAAGTATACAGGATCTGAATGAAGACAGAAGTTTTCTTCATGGTTGGGATATAAATTTCCAGAGATGCTTTTGCTCAGTAATACCAGTAGATGAATGCTGGAAAAAAAATGTTAATTGGTTAATAATTTGAACATTTTTTGTGGGGGACTTTTCCCCTTAGCTTTCCTTTCCAACGGTGTTTTTTATACATGAAGGCAGAATTTGTTTCAACAATTAATCTGATGAATGGGGAAACTGAGGCACTAGTTTATAAGGAAAATGTGAAAATAAACTGTATCAACTGATGGAGCCTCCAGAGAGATTTGTAAAATATTGAACTCTAGAATCAAGTGTAGGTATGCGCACAGTTCAAATGAATAAATATCAACCTAATTCCTTTTTCAATATTTGGGATATTTTGAATATTCCAGTTGAATAGATTTCTTCAAAAGATAAGCATCTGTCTCCTTATCTGAAAGAAGTCTCTCTGAGACTTCAAAGCATATGAAAATGATTGTTTCAATGAGTTGGAGTATACATTTCTCCATGATCTTCTCAAAAAATTATGTTCTTTATATCCTTATATCTTTATGTAGGTAATTTTGGTCCTTCTCCTATGGTGAGCAAAAGTGACATTGAACATGCATCCCATTGTCTTCTAGTCAGGATACTTTTGTTCTTCTAAATCAGCCAGTGTCCAACTAAGAAGAGAAAAAGCAGGAGTACATAATATCACTTTTAAAAATTATTAGCTATTTTCTAGGTAGAGTAAAGTATATCACAGCAAATTTATTTATTATTCTCAGATTAGTAATGAAATACTATAGTTTTCTATATTCAAGTGCTATGTAACTGGACAGGACCAGATTTTTTTTAAAGACAGATTATAACTTTACAGTTTATATAAGTATTTTAACATTTTAGGATATGTTCCACTGATCTTTGAAGAGTTTCTGTACTAGGTCTGTCCATTATTTTTAGCTTGAGGTCTGTGGAATTCCATTCAGACATTTCAAACAGGTTTCCTTTCTTAATGGACAGTAAGATCTGGCACCAGTTGGTATCAGCTGTCTTTTTGATCTTTTTCCCCCCCCCTCAGATCCACTTGATTTACAAGTTATTGTTAACAACGAGTCTTTTGAGTATGAGGTTCAATATTGAAAATGTTGAAAGGAGATTTAAGTTTGAAATATCTGTGCAGTTTGACCCTTGTCTCTCTCTGCTTTGATTCCTTTGATGTGGAGCAGGTGAACTGGCTCTCTTTAGCAACTGTGCACTGACTGTTCAGGGCACAAGAAGTGTGTTCATGAGTGCCAGGACTGGAGTGCTCTCTTAAAGTCAGTTTGAGAGTCATCGTTAGTGCTTGTCATGCCGTGCTACACTGCAGTCACTGCTATTGTGGCATCTTGGACACAACCTCAGTCCAGTACTGAAATACAAAGTGACCTTTTTCCACCTGAATTTAAAGAGAAAACCTTGACAAACCATGTCTTGGCCTGTTAAAAATTTGGGACTAGAACAAGGCATAGGGAAGCAAATAGTTGAAGCAGATCATTATATAGACAGTGGTATGTATAATCAATGCTCAGGGATTCAGTGAAGTTTCTGAGGAGAAAGATTCTAGTGTGCATTCACTCTGCTGTGTCCTAATAAAGTCAAAATACTTCACAGGAAAAACTTTGAAAAAATGTTGTCTTAGATATAAGACAAATTGTCTTATGCAGACTTGATAAGAATATAAGTATTTATGAATGCATTATCTTCTGAAATGACTTTAATATTAAATATACTAATTTGTTTAATCTGATACATTTATATAATTTATCTCCTGTCCTCCTTTACCATGCTTTACTTTCACAAGATGGAGTAAAAAGAAACATGACTTTATTTACACACAACAGAAATAACAGAAATAATATGTGAAGATTTAACAATAGGAGATCATAGAAACTCTTCCTTCAAAATATGTTGCATTAAAATAGAAGCAATAACAGGGACTGGGGATTTCTATTCATTCCAGAAAAACTGTAAACATTGACAGCAGCAGAGGCAGAATTTTATATGCTTCAAATAACAAACAAGATGCGTCATTTAAATGTTACAAGCAAATAATTTGTATTCCTTGTTTTGATTTTCATAGCTCTGCTTTGATAATGCCAGTAGCATTTGGTCACTTCAGCCTCCATGTCCCTCTGGCATCACATTTGTATTGGTTTGGCACAGCCTGGTTTAGGTAGCAGGGGGGCCACAGAGATGCTCCTGTGGGAAGCTGCTGGAAGTGTCCACCACGTCCAGCAGAGCCAATGGCTGATGGCTCTGAAGATGGACGAGCTGCTGGCCAAAGCTGGACCGATGAGGGAGGCTCTAATTCCTCTGTAATGACATATTAGAAAAGAAAATCAAAACAAAGTTACACGTTTTGTTTCTAGTCAGAGAAGAGGAGGAGGTGAGAATATGTGAGGGAAACAACATGGAGACACCAAGGTCAGTGGAGAAGGAGGGGCAGGAGGTGCTCCAGGTGTTGGAGCCAAGATTCCACTGCAGGCCCTGGTGATGACCGTGGTGAAGCAGCTGTGTCCCTGCAGCCCATGGGGATCCATGGAGGATGCAGAGATCCACCTGCAGCTCGTGCGGGAGTGAGTGGATGCCTGGAAGAGGCTGTGATCCAGTGGAAGACCTGGTGGAGAGAGAGGGCCCTTGTTTCAGGCTGGTGCAGCCTGTCCTTGGAGGTCCGCACCCCATGAAGAGTAACCCACATTGCAGCAGTTTTGGAGGACTGTTGGTCTGTGGGAGGGACTCAGGTTGCAGCAGGTGCAGTTTGGCTGCTGCCATGAGTATGGACGCATGCTGGAGAAGTTCACAGAGACCCGTCTCCAGTGGAAGGGACCCCACGGCCTCACAGGGGAAGGACTCCTCTCCCGGAGAAGTGGAAGAAAATCTGGGTGATGAACTGACCAAAATCCCCATGCTCTGTCTCCCTGTGCTGTCGGTGGGAAGGAGGGAGGGGCTGGGGGGGGGGGGGGGAAATGGTGTTTTAAGGGCTTATTTTACCTCTCATTTATCCTCTTCTGATCCTGATAGTAATAAACTTCACTTTACACCTAAAGCTGGGCCTGTTTTGCCCTTGAAATATTTCTCCCAATCCTTATCTCACTCATGAAGCCTTCATCCATTTTTTTTTCCTTGTTCCTCCTTTGCCCAAGCTGTGGAAGGGGAGGGTGGGAGGGCAACTCTCATGGGTGCCTGGCACTGGGCCAGTGTCAAACCATGACATCATTTCAAGTTCACTTCATATTTCACTATTCTCTTGGCTGTTATGCAGGTTTTGCATTATCCAGAACTGGGCTGCTGTTACCAAAGTTGGAAGAGAACAAATCTACCAGTGCTTGTCCCTGGGAACCTACTACCTTTGTGCAGTCTGCTATTTTTCCTTTGTTCAGTATTTGCTTCTGCTCTGTAATTTGTTTCATTTTTTCTCACTTTCAGTGCTTGTTGTGAAAAGACTGTCATCAAGAACAAATAAATTGTTTAGTTTAAGAGTTTGAAAGTCTTGCTCTAAATTTAGAATCAGCAACTGAACCAGGTACTGTGCAGTCCTGGACTAACAGCTAAGTCTAGTTTTATGTGTGTATGCACAAGTGACACTTCAATTTTTGGATTTTCTAGTGAGTGTTGGAAAACGACAATATCTAACATTGCTCTTTTGTTCTTGCTTGTCAGAAAAATTATGAGAAGTTAAGTCTGCATCATAGCAGCAGTAGAACAGCCAGTTGTAAAAGCGAATTTTCAGAAAATACTGACCTTCCAGTTGACAGCTATTAGTCTGCACATGGAAAAGATGAGGAAAAAACATATGAAGCAATCCTGGTAGAGGATGACAGGACTATGGAGAAAGGTAGACATTAGCAAAAGAAGCATCAGGTGGTATCATGCTGGTCAGAGGTGTGTGTATTCTTTGTTTTCATTTATATTTGCAGGTATTTTCTCTGGATGACAGTGAGATAGACATAGTGGACAATACAAGCTGCTCTAGTTCAAGTAATTTGGAAGAGTCTGCTATTGGTAAGATTCTTCAAGAATGAACTGTACACAACTTTCTAACAGTAAAGCATTTGTTTAGTCCAATATATGAGAGTATTATATTATTTGTCACAAGTTCACAATCTGTTGTTACCTAAGAAAATCACTGTGCCTCTGTGACAGCCATGTCTACTTTATTAGATTTGATACCACCAGGACTTTGTGTAGCTTGTCCCCATATTTTGCAGTAGCAGCTATGAAAAATGGAATATTATTTGGCTTCTTGAGAAAGAAGGTGGTTTTTAATTTAAACATAAGATGACTAATACTGATAAGAAACAGATGGAAGAGTGTGAACAAGAAAGTTGAAAGAGGCAAGCTTTAGCTTCCTGGAAGAATTGACTGAATGGAACTGATGGAATGCGTAGATTTTAATTAGGACAGAATTATGTGACAAAACACAGCATGAATTCTGCTTATACTTATTTATGGTAATCAAATTGGAAAGCACCAGCTGTGTTGGGTGTTATCTTAAGTAACAGTTTTTTGGGATTATATTTCCAATTTGAAAATTAAAAAAAAAATAAACTGAAAAACCCTAGCAACTAACCACTACGACTTTACTTGCTAGATTGTGAACTACCATGACCTACCTATTAAATGCAATGGGATTCTGATTAGTGAAAATCAAAGCTCATTTTATACTAGAAAAAAAAAGAGATGGGTGTTAGAGTTAAGCAAAATTTAAGATTTCCATTAATAAAATATAGGGATGATTTAGATGTACTTTTAGAAGGTAAAGGGAATGTAGTTGTCTGAAGATTAGAAAACAGCATTGCTGCAAATGTCCCAGGCTTCAAAAAACCTAGAATAGCATTATTTGTTTGTAATCCTATTTGGTAGCTATATTTTATTTTATATTTTGGCCCAGGTACTGAAGAGCACTGATGAGCTTTTTTTACTGAAGCTATAAGTGCAGAACAAATAATGATTTGGTAATTCTACTTAAAATCCATTAAAGTGATTTGCTAATTGTAATTGGATAGCCTGCCATTCTGAAGGCTAGAGGATCTGTGGCTCGCCAGCTTTGAGATTATTGTCAAAGTTTGCTTAAAAAATAGTAATTTTAGAAAGCATTTTTTTGTGGCCACTTTCTTGTGCTATGAGAGTAACAGGAGAATGCTGCAGGATAGAGGGAAGCCTTGAATAACTGTGGGAAGGGGCTGCGTAGAATTAAGCTCTTGAGGAAAAAGCAGCTTCCAGGGACAAAGTTTGGTTCTGTGTTCATACTGAAGAATAACACACTGTGTGTCTCACAGGAATGTAATTCTTTGTGGGCTAGTTCAGCACTGTGCAAAGAAATTTGAAGCCTTTCTGTAGTTTGTAACTCACCACACCCAAAGCTTTAGTGGTAAGGATTTCCTTGTAGTTAATTTTTCTTTGTTAAGATTTAGACATTAACAAAATGTCAGCTTTTACTAATATTTGAATATTACTGTGCCACATTGCCGTAGTTTTAATTAAATATTTTCTGTGGAAAGATCCTGTCAGTTCTTATCAGTCCCAGTAACTTTAATCAGCGTTTCTAGAAGCCATCCATTTTTCTCCTAGCATAGAGTCTAATTATTATATAGATACTTCAGGATTGCTTTTTCAGAAAAATAACTCCACAGTCTTACATTCTTAGATCAGCTGTAGTTTCTATTTCATGTTGAAGTCGGTGTCATAGATCAGCTGTAGTTAATGCTGGAAAATATTTCTACTTTTGAGGAGTAAAGAAAAGATAACTTAAAAATATTATAAATTCAGCATAATTGGGAATTTCTTGAAAAATGTTCCATTCATTAATAGTAAGTGGCTAACAGAGTTTGAATTATTAGCCATGGTTTTGGTAAGCATGTCAGCATTACAGGGGAATATGTGACCAACTTTGATCTACCTAACTTGGAAACTGCTAACATGAAGATGAGAGTTTTAGTTCCAGGTATGTTGATTAAGATCGTGAAAGGATTTGTCTAATTGTGCTGTCATCACATCGTTCTCAGAGAAAATGTGTTCATTCTAATTTCAAACTAGGGTGGTATTTTGCAAAAAGGTGTGAAATGCTGAGCTGTTCAGTAGCACAGATACTGGTATGGATTTGTCAGTGTAATAGGGGGAAGCTTTTTTCATAGTCCCATATTGTCATATTATTTTTAATGACTTTGCATACTCAGTGTTTTTTAATTGTGTTTTTAAAAAAGGATTGTTCTGATTAGTATAGAATGTATAGACAGTGTATTTCTATATACAAGACCAGCTCTTTTAACACGATTGCCAAGTGCAGGGTGTGTAGATTCTGGAATAGTTGCTCCTGGTACTTGAAATGATTAATCCTACAGGAACAAGATTCTGCACATTTCAAAAGCATAGAGGCAGCAGTGACAGATGCATTTTTCTTTTCCTGAAGTAATTATAATTTCAAATTATGAAGATTGACAGAGGATAGGAACATACTGAGTCAAAAAGCTGTGAAGAATGATGCGATGGTAACAGTTTATTAGTTGGATTTTTTTCTTAGTTTAAAATTACAAGGTTCACAACTTTACCTTAGCGTAGTCATATTAAAGGGGTTTTATTTTCATGTGGTTTACAGTGTAACCATACTTTCACTTCTGTTGGAAAAACCAAATAGCAGGAAAATATGTGATATGTCTTAATGCATAGTAGTCCAGTAGAGCTGATGTGTCAGTTGAGTGAGAGTTGAAAAATTTACTTTTTGTCTGGAAATGCTCTTTTGGACAAAATTTTTTGTTTTCCCTAATCATGTTCATTTTCATCGCAACCAGGACAGTGTCCTAAATACATTGAAAGACAATTCTATGTGGAACATGCTATTAGAAAACCCTGGTCTATGGCTTTATGTACTCCTAACCTTCCTCCCAATATAGAGGTAGCATGCAATAGATTCTTTTCAGAATTGCTCAGCCTTTTCAAGAGATTAGGAAGTCTCAAAACACTGCCCTTTTGTGCAGATGTATCTTGTTTAAAAGTTTTCTCTTACGTCATAATTTCATTTATGCTTCCACTATTTGGAGTGGAAACATAAATGAAATCTCTGCTCATATCTTGTTACCAATAAGCAAAGACACTGGTATTCAGGATTCCTTTCCTGTAATACTATTCAAAGTTACCATGTAGTGAAGACACCACAGATGTGCCTGAACAATATTCTAGTGATGCAACTCTAAAATTTAGAGTCTCCAATATCTTTCTTTGACAAATGCAAGTGGTTTACCCAGTGCTAGGACTTGAGTCTTGTGCAGGTAATGCACAAGTTGAATAATTGGGGATTTCTAGAACTAGGATACTCTCAAAACAGGAACTCTGTGTGTTTTATGTAGCAAGTGATTTGGCTCATCACTTAGGTCATGGGTTTAGGTCATCACTTAACTCCAAATTTAATATTTTTGAGGAAACACGTTGTGAAATAACCCCCCATTCAATAATGTCATTTGTTTTCTGGAGCCTGTAATTTGGGCCACATTGCAGACAGCTTATATCTTGGAAGTTCTGTGGTCACAGAGATAAGCCTTGTTGATTTGTTTTTTGGGTTTTGGGGGTGGTTTTTTTTTGGTTTTTTGGGGGTTTTTTTGGGGGGGGTTTTTTTGGGGTTTTTTTTTTGGGCTTTTTTTAATTCAGACCAGTATTTGATGGATTTGGTCACTTGAGAAGACATTTCTTGTTTAGATAAAATGACTAGATAGTTTGGTAATAAGTTTTTGCAATAAGATTGTCTGGCATCTGCTTTATATGTTTTTTTGGTTTCAGATTGTGAGGAGAAAGTTTAGGGAATTTCTTGAAAATTATTATTGCACCAATGGGCTCTCTGTGAAGAACTTTGGAGTCCTTAGTGTTTTGTAGGCTTGCTTTTCCTGATTTGTCCAAGATTCAGATTTCTCTTGAGACCTCAGGCTAATGGGATTTTGTTGAAGACATCAGCCAAGACCTGGTTTTCCTATATGATGTCTGAGTTTAGTTTGAAATATGTTTATGTCAACTTCTGTTGCTGTACATGGAATCACTGCTGGTAAGAAAAAAAACTTAGTTGTTTGCTCTGCAAAACAGCTTAATTAACCTGGTTGGGATTGTCCATTCCAGTGTATAGTCATTTGAAGGGCAGTTTAGTATGAGTATTTTGAATTAATAAAGGTAATTTCACCTTACTCCTGAAAAGATAGTTGAGCTGTCATTCAAAAAAACCCACTCCTTTTGCTTCCATTTTATCAAGGAGATGTACTGAAGTTCTCTGCTAATACAAAAATTTTATTCAATTTTCCAACCAGTCTGATCAAACTTAGAAAGGTTTTCAAAGATACCATTGAAGTCAAAGTTAAAGCCAAAGCAAAAGTTACTATCTTCTCAGGTTTTTTTGGATCTTATCTCATGTTACCAGCTCTTTCCTTGCAATTGCCTATTTAGGTGCCTCAAGAGCAGAACACTAAACTTCGTATTAAAATATATTTGTATAATTTTTACTGATATCAATGCATGTTAAGAAGTTAAAGTCTTAGAAGTTGCTCTAATTACATCAGCTGCTAAAGACCAAAGTAGCAGTCAGAGAAATTATTTATGCTTAATTTGATATTTTTTTTAATGTCCTCAAGGAATCTGCATAGAGCTACTCAGAACAGGGAGGCTGATGGGAATTAAGAGCTTTGGTTTTTGTGTGTTTCTTTCACAATCTACAAAGAGTGGGCATAAAACAGAAAAGAGATGGAGGGTTTATATTTAATTTTCCTTGAGATCGTCTTGACCTGAAAAATGCCCTCTTACAAGGCATTTGAACAGAACATATTGCTCTTCCTATCCATGTCAAAGAAGTAGCCATGGTAAAAGGAAATATGTTCATGTTCCAGGGAACCCTGAGCTGAACATCAGGATACACTGTGTGCTCCATGACTTACATGGGTTAACTTGCCTGCACATTGTGCTGTTTCTTACTCCCTGACTGGCTTTGTATAATTAGGATAACTCATACACAGAAGATTAGGGATTATGAA